ATATATATAGGCAATTTTTGAAGCCAAACCTGTCTTCCTAGTTGGATTTACTTATCTTCTGATCCTATACTGAAATAATAGACTGATGTGTGAGTACCTCCATTTGGTACTTGTGCTATATTGTGATCCCAAAAAAGAAAGCAACTCAAGGGGAGACACTACCATAGAATTTCCACTACATCGGCTCTGTTAGATATGAACTCCTGTGCGATCATCCACAGTTGTTCTGAACTCAGGTCACTTGGTCTCCTAGAAGAGGCCGAATCACCCCTTTCCTTGTAAAGACCGCTCTTATGACTTCTGCTGGTCGCAGATGGCATTCTTAATCCGGTAAGTTAACTCTACGCAGCTCTGGATCTACTTGAAAATAGTGAATACTTGAGCTGCTTACTGATATTCGATTTTTGCAGCAGTTTTATTGATTGTTACAGACGATGAAGTGATGATCATGGCAAAGAAAATAGCCAAAACTGCTCGACTCCGCCTCAGCTTCCGAAATTCAGACGACTCCAAGAATTTCTTCGCCGCTCTCGGTCGCTTCGCCAAATGCAAAGAGAACGGTTCGCCTACAGCCCAAGCAGATCCCGTCTCTGAACGAGTAGAGGACACTTTATCGACACCAGCTCCACTTCCACAAACTTGGAACACCGAGTGGCCAACTGAAAGCCTCGAGGGACTCGTACGTCTCTGTTTGAGCGACCCCAACTTTCCGGGATTTGTAAGACGGGTTGATTCGATTATGAAGAAGCTGACCTCAAAAGGAACTTCTTTAGATTAGAACATGTTGTTTCCTTCTTGGTTTCGTTGTGACAATCGTGTTGTTTTCATAAAGTTATCAAGGCTTATGCCTTACTTCTTCATTATCAATGAAACATCTGGAAACAGCAACAAAGTTTCGAGTAACGTAGCTCACGCCAAAGGGGACGACTCATGTATTAGTGCATAAATCTCCTGATGATAGTTGCATACATTCGATTAGATCTTCCTATGTTTTCACCTAAGGTGTATTGGAGGAGGAGATACAGTAAACTGTTTATTCACTAGCGTGACAGCTAGGTGCCTGGTCTAAATCTGGTCTAACTTTCTGCCCTGAATAGAAACAACGAATTTTTCTTTGGGCAAAACTGCTGGAGGGTGGCAATCATTCTGTCTGGACCAACCACAAGTTTATAACATATCAGTAACGCATTCTGTTGGTCATTTTTGAGCGACACTTCGCTTTGGATGCAAAGACAGATTATGTGTGAGGGTCGTTTCCTTTGGTACTCTCCATTTTAAAACACATGAGTTGGTACTTTACTTTGCTTTACTCGGCATGACCTCCTCAACAAACTTGTTGATCGGTCGGAATTGATTTGGGACATTATTCATTTATTATACTGGCCGAGCAATGTGGCCAGCATGCCGACTACCTAACCACGCCACCCCTTAAGTGTGATACTCATCAAATGTTAATATTTCGCTGCGCCCCGATTCTCCTCATTCTATATCCCGCAGCTGTTTTCTCCGAAAGTATGTTAGCAGCCCATGCGCATCACAAAGAACTTGGAAATAATGTTTATTTTGCTAGGGTCTGTTTTACAATATCTTGAGGTCAGCAATTCTGTATGGCTGTCAGGACCCACTGAATGTGTCACTCATAAGAACGAAGGTGAGTTTTAACCTTGGATAGTTGTGAAACTGAAAGGGTGCTAAAGATTTGTGAGATGGCTCGTTGGGGGCGAGATGGTCCAGTGGTTAGAGCGCGAATTTACTGACCGGACGGTCCGTGGTTCGAACCCGACCTCTGCCTCTCGGCTTCCGTTGTCTAGGCTTGGGCAACCTGGCCGTATCCCGGCCCTCCTGCTTCCTTCCAGTGGTATGTCAGCTAGGCACCGAAAGGTCGCTACAGCTGAGCGCTTCGCATCGTTAAAAACTCTCCCATGTTGCGCTAGATGCCCAAAACACAATACACTATAACTTTTTGTTAAGAGCGCTGCACAGAGAGAAATCTCCACTCGACTGGTTTCTCTGTTCAACAGAAAGACGAATACGCACCAAATGCCAATATTTGTACACGTTTCTCCAACAGACTGTGGTCATGCAAAACGTTCGTACGACCAAGAAACTTGAAACAAGAGCATTAATATGACCTATTCCGTTAAATATTGAAGAACTGCAGGTAAGTTTCACACAGTGTTCCAAGTTGCGCAGATTTTTGTCTCTGGTATTGTCACCTGTAATTAACATGTACTATCTGGATATTCTTCTGAACTCAGATGACTGACTGCTCATCTGATCCAGTTAAATTGCATTTGGTCCAAGGAGAAATGTTTTCTTGAATGAAGCTATTCACGAGGTTGCTGATAAACTCTTCGACTGCCCACGACCGGTTCCGCCGTTCTTGAAACTGATCAGGTAGATGCTGTCCCTCGTTTTCATCAACATAATATCCTACCCAAATAGTTCGCGAATGGATCTCAGCAACCTTCTGAGCGATTGCATTCAAGAAAGTATACTGCGATATCTGAAATATTGTACCAGCTGACACATGTGGCGTTCTTTGTGCAATGCATTCAGTTGAAGATTATCATAAACGGGGATTCATTTTAGTCTTTTCAGAAAACCAAGTTGATGTACAAATGAGTGTATTTCGCTAGGAGGAATATTGGCGTACTAAACACTTGCATCGGACTGGTGTTTTTGATGTTGTATGTTTGATGTATGTATGATGTATGTTTGGTGCAATTATAACTCAATACCGTTTGAGATAACCTGGAAGGATCAAGGTATTATCTTGGAAGGTACGAGCACCGAGAAACTGGAAAAAAACGTGAATAGCGAAATATGCGTCAAACGAATTAAGCAGACACTAATCAGTAGGAATAAACAGCAACATGTTTGAACACAGTCCGTTTGTGGAACTGAAGTAAATAAATACTTCTGTGGGTGCGCGCAAAGAAGGAAGAGAGGCCACTACTCAACACAGAACACAAACTGATCAGTGAACTCACAGGAACGCTATTTTTCAACTAGCTAATCACGTTAAGAGCTGACAGCTGTTCTTCAAATGCATTGTAAACGCACGTAGGTAAGGAAGAAGTAGTTGCACACTTGCGCTTCCAAGTTAGCTTCCAAGCTCCCCGAACTGACCAATAGCCACCTGATCAACAATCAAGGGACGACTTTTCTAACAATGGATGCTCTGTGTACTGGAGCAACTCACAAGAAAAATGAGTGACCATGAGTTGCCATATATTTCAAAGCACCTCAACTACGTGGTCTACTTTGTTCACAGTTATGCTGCTAGGCGATGGTATTAGTAACCTTGATTCTTGTAGTTTCAAGAATCCGTTCTGTCCTCTCTCCTCAAAGAAAAATCCTTATAGCGAGGTCCAAACAATACCGATAAACACGAAGCTTCAAAATTATGCCGCTCTTGCTCAGGGTTTTTGAGTTTTTCTTTTATCCATTTCTAGAAGCCCTGACGTACTAACTTCGCTGATCGTCAAGGTCGTTACTGCGCGACCAATTTACTAGTCTGAGAATCCAAATTGTATCTAGTAGGTGTGACCTGACTCAGGGGGTGATCACTGTATGTTGTAATCAACGGTACGATTTGGCGACTGACATCTCATTACAGCCTTGGAGAGTGTCCGCCATTGCTAGTGATTCTAAGAACGGAATACAACCAGGCAGAATGTGGAAACGACACTTTTTGGCATTTCTGACGTCTTTCCAGTCATGGAATCGGGATCGAATGGACAATGTGATAAGTTTTGCACCGTTAACCGCGACTGCAATTTCATTTTGAGCACACCCAGCGATTTAGTGAACCTCTTGATATGTCAGTTGGAGTGTGATCACATTGTTTTCCCAAAACTCCTCCGAAACGACGCAATTCCGACCATCAAAAGTGAAAACCCTGTAGAAAAGTAATCTTGTCAGGTCACCAAGCAATCAGTTAGTTTAGGGTTCCAACAGAAACAAGGAAATTAGGTATGAGTACATCAATTTCGGCCTAGAGGGGATAATAGTGCAGTGGTTTGCACAAGTTTTAAAGCAACAGAAAACACCGGGACACGCCTGACACTCGTCGAGCATTTTTCCGAATATGCTAGGTTCTTTCACTTACGAAAGTGCCTCAGGCGATGGCAGCTGGTAAGATGTCGGTTAACCCGCACCAAAGTACACTTTACTAATACCCCCAAGATAAACAATATCGTATCACAGTGCAGCAGGTAACTCATTCCCTTAATCTGCCATTATGAACACGTGATGGCGGAACTTTTAGGACATTGGTAAAAACTGCTTGGACAAAACCGCAACGGGAAAAGTGCCGAATGATAAAAAAAAGCCAGTCGATTTAATGGACTGGAGCAGATTTTGTCTATGCAAAATGTCAGTGTAGAACAAATCACAAAAACTAGTAGGTTTTGTTGCGAACAGTGTGGAACAATCAGTGTTTAGGAGGTGACTGGCTATTCAACACTTTAACTGACCAATTTGATCACCAAACGGTACTTACTTGAAAAGTTGATCGTTTTTGCTGCTTTTAAATTTCGCCAAACAACTTTGCCAGGAAATTTGTTCAAGAAGATAGCTCATGGTAGCTGAGAGAACAAAATCGGTGAAAATCATTTTGTGATAGGGCTGAAGTTCACTGGACGAGCCAACCAACGGCATTCGTTGATTGCAGGTAATCTGGCTTATTCGGAAGGAGGCAACACTGTCGAGATTATGCACAAAGGAACGTGTGAACCGAGCGAATGCTGGTTTGGAGCCTCCTTTGCCAAGTTGCACCGAGACACTTTTTCGCACTGCGGTCCAACGGATAGGGAAGGTTATGAGTAGTAAAACGAATATGCATACATCGCAATGTGAGCAACAGATCCTGATACCCAAAGAAGGAAAATGCAAGGCATAAACGTGTCAGTAGTGATAGCGGAGTTGGTGAAAATTCCACCTAACTTTAAACCAATTCCTAACTAACCAGTAGCAAGAGACAACTGATCTGCAGTAGCTCCACTTCTCGTTACTGTTACACGTGCTGTCCCCGATCCAGTGCCTAGTGCCGGATCAAGACTCGCTGACAACAGCTTTACTGCAAACAAGCGAGTGGGAGCGAAAAGTACAACGGCCTCGTGCTATATATTCAGGAGTCACTGCATGACTTTAATTCAAGGCTGTCTCGCGCTATATTTTGATGGACACTGTCTGATCTCGATCCAAGGCTGTTTGACCTGCGTTTAATGGGGGTCTTAGTAGGTTTCGGATGCTCTGGGATAATTTTGATGAATATGACCTTCCTGACAGTTACAATACAACATTGGTGGTTGAAAGGTATCAGGAGATTAAGTATACTTTGAAATGAGAGGTCCGAGTACATTGGGCAAGAATAAAAAGACGCACCTGAGATTGGGGTTGGCAAGGGCAAGCCAACAACGCATTCACGATTGGGTTTCCCAGACCTGAAGTCACAGAGCCCAACCGGAAAATCAAGCAAGCTGACCACTACTCTATCCGATTTGTTTGTTCCAATTGGTTTTCGATTATAGGAGTTCTCTTGCCAGCTATCGCACCTCTGAGTAAGTATGAAATATATCTTATCTGAAGATGATCATAACGAAAGTCTCAACTGAATCCAAGCTGGATCTATGGTTTATGATATTTCAGAACCACGCTGGTGTACAAATGAGAGTATTTCGTTTACTTCTTACAGTTTGGGCTTCAGCAGAATATACGGTTGACGCCTACCTGACAAGAGCTTTGTAACCATTTTTTCTATTGCGTAGTGGCTAGCTGCTTTTTTCGACACCATTTTCGGTCGGTCCTTCCAGTGGTCTCTCCAGCCAGGATCTG